TAGGAACAGGTGCCTTACTAGTAGTTACAAGAAGCTAGTAGTAACAATAGATAATTTGGATCTTCAAAGCCTCCCAGTTCGGTCACATCATCTGTCTTCTTAAACGAGGCCTTAGTCATCGACCACACGAGCCTTGAGTCTTCGATCCAAAGTCCTTGAACCTCTCACTCGTTCCATCCGTTGTGTCTTTGCCGCACCTGTCCAAGGCCAATAGCCCACGATGGTCAGCGGGATGTCTTATTACTTATTGTATCATATTGTTTCGATGTGTTTATTTTTAACTTTGCGATCATTGACTGAACTGATCTGCGACTTGTTTTGTCACAAATTATTTGGGTGAGTCTACGTTTGACTGATCGAAAAAGCTACCACTCAACCGTCATGGGGATGCAACGTCTGCAAACAATCTTCAGTGGTGTGGTTAAAGGGCCTCAAATTTAGGGTGCTATTGTAGGTGCCCGGACTGCAGTAAGACCCGGTAACGCTGGGCCACTGGGATGTCAAATTCTGGCCTCTTTCTTCTATTTGCTGTAGCTGCGGACGCCAAAAGCGTTCCACAAGCAACCTGAAGATCAAAGCAAACCCTGAATGCTCTTGAGGCTAGGCTCAAACATTATACTAGCATTGTCAACAGCCAAAGAATCCGCACAGATCCGCACAGTGTCATATCCGAGGCACCACACTGCTTCCTGGGCTGCCAACCGCAGAATCGGCAGGGAAGGCAAATTCTGCCAGGGTGACAAGCAAGACATAGCAAGACGCACGCAACCAAAAACCAAACTTCCGGATTTTATCGGATTTGCACCTGGTGAGAAGCTTCATGTCGTAGGTCAACGAAGAACTGTGGCCATTCAAGTCCTTGTGCACGCTCTAGAATGCTGGACTTCTGTTGGCGCGTTCTGTCCTTGACTGGAAGAAAGCAACTCCCACATTCAATGTACATGAGTACTTGGTGTTCTCAACTTCCTTCATGTCGCGTTTGCAAACATTGTTGTTTTCGCTTTTCAGCAACTATGCCCCTGTCCACGATTCCGTTCACGAGCCGGATAACAGCCATTGCGTACATCAGCCTCAACTCGTTGTCTGCTCGCGGAGCCTCTGTATCTGGGTTGAGGTATGCGTCGTTCAGCATGATCTCCACGAAGCTTGCTGTAATGTCCACTGCCACAGGCAAACGGCATCGTGTTCTCCTCAGTCTGTTGGAGTCCCCTGTGCCTATTAGATCTTGCCTGGATGTGTCTAGAGAGTCTAGAAGCTAGATGAAGCTAGGGGCATCCTACGAGTACAACAGTTTTCTTCTCCACTGTCAAAGAACATGTACTTTTTGACCCATCACCGGACGTCACCGGTGGCAAGTCACATGGCCTTATTTTTCTTGCTGAGTGTCCAGGTCTCCACGCGCTTCACTCCTTGTGCCCGCTCAGAGGGGGACGATGAGGTCAGCTGCAGATAGACGGCATGAAACTCTGCCCATGAGGCCCATGGTGCGACTTTGCTCATGGTAGAGAAAGCACTGGCATGCACTGGTCAGTGAGCTCATAATAATATGTCATATGATGTCATATGTATGTGTTGATGATTTATGAAAACGTTCTCATTGGAGATCAACCAAACATCGATGTTCATCCATTGTGAAAATACTTGCTCTTTTGTATAATCACATGTAATCACGGAAACATCGGAAACAACAGGAAACATAAACAGGCGTCTTGCTTGGCCCATGACTTAGAGCAACAGCCAAACTCGATGTGATGCTTACAATCCTGACTTCAGCGTAGTGCTTGGTGATCATCTTGCAGGTTAAAAATCGATGTGATGTGAATGCATGAAATTATCATTGGATGTGTTTGCTCCCACAAAGTATCGCTGCCCAAAGGCTAAATCAGGTATGCCTGCCTGTGCCGGATTGTCTTCCTCTTTGTCAGCCTCTGTCGGAATCCCTGTCCTGAGCATATCTGACCCTTCTCTGTGTGTGGTGGAATGAGACTCTGAGTGTGCCACGAGCTGGTAGAGCTGCTTCCTGCAAAATCCAATGAGCTACTACCGTGCATCCGCAGCCGAATGATCCACAAATTTGAACTCACAATTGGACATTGCTACTAGGGTGGAGACCATCGCCAAAAGAGAACGATAAAAGAAAAGGAAGAAAGGTCTGTTCGCTGATCTGCCTGCGCCGGAAGCCGTGAAGGGAGTGGCTGCGACTGCACCTCAGGTGGCCATCGACCGCGAGGCTGGGAAAACGCCGACTTGCCACACGATGGATGAAGAAGCCTGGCCTGTTGCTTCTCCAACGCTGAAGAAGTTGGCCCCGTGCACACCCTGGTGGCTCCAACTTTACACCGAAGTCCAGTTGTAGTGAATCATTATGAATCGGTCAATTGTACGGTGAATTGTGACTGAGTTGCAGATATGTGCTGATCAAATGCTGTGGACTCTGCACAAACAGAAGGGTGCCTGATCGCTGACCACCTTTAACCTGAATACAAAATACCAGTGTGCAATGATTTTCCTCTAATTACTAATTATATAATTCATATTAATTCCACTCTTCTCTTCAAGTGCAATGCCATGTAGCGCTGTAGCGCTGTCACAAGAAGAATCACTGGGTACTCGAAAAAGGATGTAAAAGGTACCAGCTTTGCAACTGAGAAGCAGCTTTGACAAGAACCCAGGATCAGCCGTAGAGACAAATCGTGTTGCCACGATGATGTAGCCTTCCTGGGGTCCAAGGAGACTCAATGGAGAGCGGTCTTTGATCACAAGGACCCAAGGAACCTTCTTGTGTGAAGATAAATTGAAAGGGAACACGATTCGGTGAGCCTCGAAAGTGACGCTTACCACACCATCAATCTGGAGCACCTCCAATGCAAACTCCGTCCAACTGGAACATGAACGATCTCTACCTTTTTGCATGCTTTTTGATCGTTCCAAAAGGCTTCAAAAGGCTCCAAGAATCTCCAAGACCCCTTTGGTTTCGAACCTTGGGGAGCAAGGCCGTTCTGGTGTCAGATTCCAAAGGCTGACTGACCTCGGCCACCGCAAGCGCCGGTCTCCGTGCCGTCTTCAGCTCCGCCGGTCTCCGCCCATCTCCGGACCTGAAGGACCACTTGACCAGCAGGTCCACCAGAGCCCTCCTTGATACAGACAAGAAACCGTCTTTAGCAATGAGACACTGAATGAGACCTACAGAATAGCGATGGCGATGGCCTGCAAAACATCTCAAAAACACCTCTCACCACTGACATCAATTGACATGACTCATCATGACTGCAAACACCACTAAAAGCCAAGGCGGTCCTTGTGTCTCGGACTTAACCTTCTCCTACACCACTGGGACGGTTGTTTGACGGATTCTTCGACGGAGGTGTTTCATGTTTATCTTGCTTCGGTCGCTGGAGCTCGCTGCGGTCGCTTCGGTCCTGAAGACACTTGGGTCTTCTCCGAGGATCACCTCCAAGATCTCCACCACTTCCTGCCGAAAAGAGAGTCTTCAGGTGTGCAAGAGCATGGAGTCTGAGAGCATCGATCGCACAACGTGGAGAGATTGTGCACCCCAAGAGCATGCAACACACCACACGTTCGCAAAATACCTGGTACTGAACGTCGTGGGGGTGATCCATCTCCAGTGCTCTTGCGTTCTCAAGTGCACGCCTACCGCAGGGTTTTGAGCTCTCAAAACGATCCATGGACGTTTTGCTGTGTGACGAACCTTTGATCTTTGAGGGTGTCCGTTTGCACATCAATATACATCAATTGCGCTCGTTGCCTCCAACCCTCCGGGTCAATCCGATAGAGTCTCTCTGGGGCACCTGAACTCAGTGTCGTGGTTTGATGCAACACACACATCCAAAAGCTGAGGGTTGAACGCTCTTCTATCCTCCTGAGATTTCTGCCCTCAATCCATACGCAAGGTGTCCATTAGAAGGTTTCACACATGCAAAAGGAATCAAGCATCATCTTGGGGTTCCTGTTCCTGTCATTATCAGAGCGATTTTTATACTTAGACTTGAGGCAATGGGACATGTTCACGATCTGGGCCTCTGGCAAGAGCTAGCTTCACACGAATATCTGGATGTTTCATCAGCGGTACGATGCTCCCCATTTTGTCTGCGCAAACTCGCAAGAACATTTAGCCGCAAGTGTTGTATACTGTACTTTAATTGGCTCACCAGAAAGATTAGACCAACAAAACGTCAGCGTGCGCAAAATTTGAGATATGATGCGCTTCGCTTTGTCTATGAACTGTCCTTCTCACAGGGACCCGCTTCTGCGCACCTAGAAGGCCTTCGAAGTTAGGGTTTGAGGCCTCTGCCACTTGAGCCATCGCCTTTGCCTTAGCTGGAGGCAGTTGCCATGGAATGTGACAAGAGAACTCATTGAAACGCAGGTTGTGCGCAAGCGATAGCAGAGCCGACCAGCCTCTTCAATTCAAGAAAAATCGTTCAGGCATAACGATATGTTCACAAAAGCACTCCCTGGAAATTATCTTCAAGCACCAACCGAGGCCCCTGCCACGTTCAGAGCACTATCTAAACGAGAAAATTCCGTCGTCATGGCGGCTTTCTGAGCTACTAAGCTTCAATGCATTAGAATCTGCGTGACAAGCATCTTCAGCCTTCAGCGCGCACTCCAAGCTACCTAGAGAATTATACAAATTGATTATATATATTATATAACTATATCATATATCATATATACAATTTACATACTGACATAGCAATGCCGCCAATCTATGCATACCTATCTTCTATCTATATGGCCATCGGATAAGATTGTCAATATCAAATGTCTTGCTCCGTCCCTCGCCTGAAACATTGAGACATGACATATTGCATTCCGAGCATGACTGTAACACTGTAACATTGCTGCGTGAAATGCTTTCGGTTTAACTTCATGGCGTGAATTCTTGAATCCATGGGCTGGTGAGAAAGCTGCAAAGCCCAACGTAGCAAAAAACAAAAAATGTGCATCGCCAAACGTTCATTTCAATGTTCCAAACGAAACACCTGCTGCAATAGAGGACTGGCGTTTGCTTGGCAGACACGACATGCACGTAGACAGAAATGTGATTTTGGTGCGGAGAGGGCTGCCAGTTGGGGACAGAAACATTGGATCAAATTGTGATTGACTTCAGCTGATTGCTGTACACGTCTGGCTAATTAATGCCTGGCTAAGCTCAGCCGACACAAAGGGCATGTGCTGTTTACTTGCAACCAGTGCTTTAGACACTGTCGGTGAAAAATGTGGTGGCATTCCTTGGTCATGACCCCAGACTCTTCGTCGACCTCTTCCAAACAAATTGGGCATTCATAGTCCTCCTCGACTTCCACGACTGGCACTGTGCTATCTTCCAAGCAGCCAACTGGGGCAGCGCCACGAGATCTTAACAAGCCGCGACGCAACATGGCCCCCAACATATTGCCAACCCCAACAAAGCTCACCATCAAATAGATGGTGTACGTCACCAGGCCGATGCCGTGCGCCACAGTGGCATCCCAAAGTCCCGGTGCTTTTTCTCTGCAGCTGGGCAAGTGGTACACATCCATCGTCGGATCGTACGGATCAATGTTGCCCCGCTTCGAGGCTGCACCGAGCCACAAAAGAATCCAAACATTAATGGCCATCACACAAAGCAGCAGGACTACGCAACAATCTTTGCATCTCCATCTGCTTGGCACGGAGGTTTCATCAATCTCAATGCAACAAACTCTTGTACCCATGACGATATCAAAAAAGGAAATGCCGAGAATGATCTTTGTCAGCAGCTTCAAAGAACCTTCGCAAACTACATCATGATACTTCACGTATTCCAGAATATGCCATGTAGCTAGACCAAGGAGTGCAGCACTCAGGACGAGAGAGAACATGCCAATCACCAAAACATACCGTGAGAATAGCTCGTATAAGATTTCCTCTCGGTGCTGTGCAACCACTTCTGCATTGGCTTGTGCTTGGCTCATTCCTTGTCTGACGAGGTCCTCAAGGGTTAGAGCAAGCTGCAAATCATAATATGTAGTACAGTATAATATGCATTAGTAATTATACTATATATACTTCATCCGAGAGCCCTCGGCCATGTGTTAAGACATATCCACTCTTCTAGCTATATGTGTACATTCTACTTTTATTGAAGTTGGATGTTTAAAAACAATGATATATAAACATGTTTAACATGTCATGTAAAATCATCAAAATTCAACTTTCACGGGCAGAACTGAATGCTCCTCCGCCGAACTGCGGCGGTGTTGTGAAACAGCGGCGCCCCAGCCCAAGACCTGTGCAGAGACACGGTGGGCCAACGGGAGAGGTCCAAGGCCATCATCGCTCTCCTCACTCGAGGCCTTGGTGGGAATGGTCGACACGAGGCCTGGTCACTGGTTCCAATCGAAACTGGAACGGCTCAGAAAGACAAAAGCTCCAAAACGCAAACGTGGTCAGGTGTTCTTTAGTTCTGGCTGCTCCAATGGGCCAACAATCTACATCTACAATGCACCAGAGCGCAGGTAGGGAGAAAGGCATCTAAACTCACAGTAGCTGAGTCTTCTGATATCTTCTGATTCTAGTGTCTATACGTGTCTATCCATTCCACAGATTGGAATTCGGGTCCCAAGCCGATTACCTAGTCATGGAGGATGTCAGTTTCAGGTTCTCATGTGCAGCACTCATTGGAGCCCTGTAACAGTGCCACGTGCAGGCTTCATGTGAGTCACTTTTTCATTTGGACCTCCTCAGTGAGCCAGGGTCAATTGGTGTTCAAAGCCGACTGTTCGACCAGAATGCGTCAGAAAGCATGTTGTGAAGATTGGAGCCCCTAATAGCGTCCTTGTTCCTAGTTGCAAATCCAAGCAGCACTTTCGTCGTCGACTTGTGGAATCTCTCGAGTCTGAGTCCCTGCAGAGATGCGCCGCGAAGGCGATTGCCCTGCCAAGTATGACAAGTGTGACAGCTGGCCTAGGGCAGGTCATGCGGTCAAGGAGGATCTGCACAATGCTCGGTCATGCTCTGTCAAGGAGGATCTGCTCTGTCATGCTCTGCAAGAAACTCATCGAAAGGCAAGAGAAATGATAGAAAATGATCATTCAGAGTCTAGCTAGAGCCGCCCAGGTGCCATAAGAAGGCATCTCTGCAGAATACGCCCTCATTGAGCTGTTGACTGGAGAAGTCATGGCAGTTTCTTCTGCAGCCGCAGCTATTGAAGTCTGATAGGTGTCCGAAGTCTACAAACAATATCATTTCATTTAGTCATTTCATTCTGTGCCGTTGTGACTGGAGGATCTCGATCACAATCGACCAGAGTTCACTTCTGCTGTGTGCAATGTGCGATCCGGCTGGGCCTTCAGTTTTGAGTTTTGAGCCTCGTGCCATGCGATAACAATTCAGAACAGAAGGGGCAGGCCTGGAAGGTAGAATTGTACCAAGGAACGATCAGCGCGCACAGCTTCGGTAAATCCGAACTTCCATGTTCTTGCAGCCGAATCTTTGTCAGCCGCTCAGGATGCTCTCCCATGGAATGCGGATAGACATCAAGTCCTACGGAAACAAATTCAAATCTCGATCGCTGGTTAAATATAACCTGTCAGCTGCTGTGTGACCTTTCGCATGATAGACTCGCCGAGTAAGTTAGGACCAAAAACGCTTCAACGAGGGATGCTCATGCTCGTTGCCAGCTTGGGATGTCCAGTCAACTCCATTTTGCCGAAAGGAGTTACTAGTAGCAAGAATGCTACTAGTAGTAAGGCCAGGAACTACTACTAGCGTCCTTGCTCCTAGTAGCGATGCCCTTTGTTACTAGTAGCAAGAATGCTACCAGGAAGACCCACTCCAGGTTGAATGTTTATTCGTCTCGTTTTTGCACGGAGTTCACATCCTACATAATTACTCCGGGAAAATTCTGTTTGCACCATCTGTAGCTCGAGGCATTTTGCGTTGTTCGCTGTCATGCTGTACAGTATGGCCCTGATGCGAGAAACGCCCAAGGCTGTGGTTTTCATGTGTGATCAAATGCGAAGGGAACATGCGCTCCATGTTGCATTGCAAATGGCTTTTCGATTCCTTTCGGCGCACTTGTTTGTTGGTTTTTGGGGGCAAGTTCAATAACCTGAGAATTGGAAATGAACCACGGAACCTATATATTTGCAGCTGACAGCAGCGAGTGAAATTGCCACAAGACAATGACAAAACAAAAAATGTGTTCAGAGAACCACAAAGAAAAATAGCCAGAACACCACAATGAGCAGAGGCAATCCAAATCTGCTGTGGGGGCAGGTAAAAATAAGCAACAATTTTGCAACACCAATACAAAAAGTTGGTGAGTGTGGGAGAAGCTACTAGGGGCTCCTGGCATCGCTACTAGGAGCAAGGACGCTACTAGGGGCTCCTGGCCCTACTACTAGGAGCAAGAAGCTTACACAGGTTAAGGTGTCAAAGGACTTGCGTATTGTCACAGCTTGTCTGCTTCCACTTTCTGCCTCGAGTTTCAGTGCCGGATTTGCTGGGGTTTTCCATTCGCTCCAAAGTTGCATCAGGGAGGCCTCGAGCAAAGTGCACATCTCATGCAACCAAGACCAACAAAAGGCCGGCATGGCAGGCCTGGTCACAACCAAGGAGGGAAATCGCTTGCTGGTCTTTGCCTTCACTGCTCCTGTGGCAAATCCCAAAACTTCCACATCTATACTGCGGTGTTTAGGGAGGCTTCTGGTTCGGGCTCAGCAGGTAGCCATTTGGGCAGGTTTTGACTCAAGAATAGTCAGGCTGGTCAAATTGGCTCATAGTGTCAAATAATACATCTTGATTGGAGTGGTTGCATGCAAAAGGGGTCAGTGACGTAGCCAAGAAAATCACATGGCACAGGCTGCACTCCTACATGTCTGCATCTTGTTGATGGACTTGCGATAGAAGGGAAATGGAATCTGACCTCAGACACCGTACCAATTCAAAGGGCTGCAATGTTAGTCGTGGAATTGTGCTTGTTTCTTTCTTGGAATTGAATCTGTTTTGCCTTTCCTAGGTCCGCCTAACGCCCTATGGGGGTTTTCGGAAGGTTCCCGCTTCCCAGTCGTGTCGTCACCGGCCGGTGCCTCTTTTTGGAGGGTAGAAACTTTCAGTGGTGGCAAAGGGTCATCCCCTACCCGAACTAAGTGCTTGGGCTTGGCTTTATTTTCCGCTGTGTGTTGGTGTTTTGTTTGGGGTTTTAGGTTCCTACCCCAAGAGCAAAACAAGCGGAAAAAGGCATCCAAAAATGCGGCAGAATGCCAACAGACAAATTATTATCAAAACCCAGCAAAATCCGAGAACCAAAAGCAAGCCATCAAAAACCAAACCAAAGCCATACCCGCCACCAAAAGCCAAAAGCCGCAGAAGCCACTGAAGTCAAAAGCCACAGAAGTTCACAGAAGCCACAAAAAAGCCCACAGCCGCAAAAGCCACCGAAGCCTAAGTAACACCAAAAGTGCTCAAGTCCAAAAAATAACTCAGCTCGATACAGTTTCTCTGGGTGTGACAGGTGTGACAGATTGTAAATGATTGTAGAATGTTGTACGCTATACTGGATTCAA